CCTCAGATGGCTGGAGCTGAGGCAGATGCAGCCACATTCTTGGCAGGTCTTCTCAGGGTCATCTTTGATGTGGAGAAGTGCTTGGTATTGTTTTCTGCATTGATGTTTGCCCTTGGCATGTGGAAGGCAACGTCCTCGTGCACGGCAGCCTCTCGGTCTGGCCCCACAGCTTGACACTTGCTGCCTGTTCTGGTCTGCTTCTTCCGAGGCCCCTCTGCATCACAAAAAGGGCTCCTTGGCTCTTCTGGCTGGTTCTTGGTTGCTCATGAAGCAGTAGCATCTGCCCCCGTCTCCTCTCAATGTATACAAAGAACACATTTCACTTCTGTCACTTCCCTGGAAAGGTTTGCTCTTACTGTTGGATACAGGAACGTGAACTTCTTCCTGAAGAAGGATTAAGGTCACATTCCCCTTAAGTCAAACCAAGGGCAAAGACCACACAAAGGGAGATTGGACCTTTGCTCTCCGACTAAACTGATAGATCCTCAAATGCTAATTACAAGGAGCACAACCAACATTTACTGAAATTGGAGCTCAGTGCCCTGATATTTTCAATGATACAGGCCCTAATTCTTATTCAGTGTTTTATTATTTCACCACTGCATCTCCAGCTAATGTCTGGTGCACAGTCAGCATCCATGCTGAAAAGGTCAGGAGCCATGGCTCCTCAGGAGATGGAGGTAAGGGAGTTCAGGCAGGACAGTGCTCAGCTGGTTTATGCAGGTTCAGCACTTCACCTTGTGCTCCATGGATGATGCCTCATTAGAGAGGAGGCAGCTCAGAGCAAAAGGGCTTAAAAAACCCACCAGGCTCTCACTCCAGCTTTGGAGCCTCCAAAGGCTATCACCTGCCCCTCTGCAATTCTCTTCCATAAACAGTTTGAAAGAAACTCCCTCCTTGGCTGCTATCATCACACTTCATCAGGGAAGAAATGCCGATACCAGGAAAGCTGAGCCTCCTCCACCCACCACAAACATCTCCAGCAGCTTCCTCTTGGCTGCTGATGTCTCTTGAGGACAGGAGATGAGGAGGTAGATGTGTTCCTCGTATGAAGCTGTGCGTTATTTCATACAGCTCATATCTGTGCTTCCAAATTAAACACCATTTCTTGGATATGCTGCCTGTCCTGGACAAAACAGAAAGGGTTCCCAAGGATGGGCTAGAAGCCCCTTTCCAGCAGCCCAGCTGCTTTGGTGGCAACTGCACCTTGTGTGGGTTTCGGCACACAAATGCTTGTTGAGAAAGCGATGTGGGAGCCTCCAGAGCTCCCGACAGTTCCCTGAATGATCGGACACAAGGTCAAGAGGGAAAAGTGGTAAAAGAACCCCAAAACAACAATTCATCAGCATAAATCTCCTTGGGGGGCTGCAGAAAACTCTCACCACCAGTGCAACTGCAAGAGGTCCCATCCACACGTCCCTGCTTGCAGCTCTGCAGAGAGACAGGGACACAAACACAGGGATTCGGTGTCATGTGGCTACACACTTCATCCTTCATGCCCCTCTGCTGCTGACCTCCAGCCAGATCCCCCCAACCACCAGTGCTTGGGTCAAGCAGGCTCCTCCTGACCCTACAAAACACCGTCAGGGGACTCAGCCTTGACTTCACCTTCTTCTTCTCCCCCCAAAATGGGGACCTCCATCCCATACCTGTCACTGAGCTGCACTCAACAAACCCCTGGGCACTTTGCCCTCAAAAGTGTCATGACCTTCGACTGGGCTGTGGGTTTAATCACATGTAACTAATTAAGGGAACATCTCTGAAGCTTGAGAACTGCCCAGTTGTAGGTTCTCACCCTTTTTTGGTCGCTCTGGCTTGTATTTGCTCCTTTTTTCCACCCCTGGTTGGGGCAGGAAATGTCACTGCTGGCAGCAATTTAACCCAGTTGATTTTAGTGCTTGTCGAGGGCCAAGTGGCAAGCGAGCGATTAGGGAGCGGGCAGGTTTCCGTCTCCCCAAGGCAGGGGCAGGAAGGTCAGAGAAAGGACCAGGGGACAGAGGGGAGGACTGGAGGCCCCCAGCCCCTCGCAGCCCTCCTCAGATGCAGGACATCTCTAGCAGGCAGGAAAGGCATCCTGGGTTTTCTTCTTAGATCTGCTGTTCAGGATGGATTTGCAGAATTTTGTACTTTTGGGGTCCAAAGGAGGGAATTTGAGGGGTAGAGACTTGAGCATCAAAATTGCCGGTTTTAGACAGTTTGGAAAAAGTCTGTGCTTTCTCTGTTGTGAGTTTGGGCAGCAGCACACAGCTTCTGACCCATCCAATGCCAAATTAAAAGTTATTTCCTAGCATTCTGGCTCAGAAATCAAGCATACTTGCAGCTTTTCAATATTTTTCTATTCTTTTCCCCCTTTCCCTCAAACTTACAAAAGAACAATATCTTTCTAAATGCATCTCCCTAGTGAAGACGTAAAAATATATAGGATCATTAAAAAGCCATCAAGGTTGTTCTACTGTAAGGTACTCTTTGCTCTCCTGATAGCACCCCGGGAAAATAAAAAGCAGCTGGGTCTTGCAGTAGTTTGTATTTCTTCTCCTGAGGATTTTCAACTAAATATTTTTAACTTGCTTGTTGCAAAATGCATTAAAAGTACAACTAATTTGCATTACTTTGGACATTTTTTCATAACGAAGATTTATCCCTCAAGTTAATGCCTGGCATAAGCAGTCATCCCACTACAACTCCTGAGTAAAAATAATAAGGAAGCCAAGTCAGTAAGAGTCATTATATAGAGCTCAGCAAAGCCAGGCTAATCTATATGTAATGTGGGAAGCCCTAAAACACAACCTCAAAGCAGCAGGCATAAAACCAGTGGCTTTTAAACTCAGATTTAGAATTTCACATTGTGTCTTGCAGAAACGTGATGTTAGATTTCCACTGAACGAGATTAAAACACTATAGAAAAGGTTATTACTCCTTCCACTGCAGCAAGTAAAGCTTAGGGATTCAGCAGCAGGGACTTTTGCTACCACTTCGGAAAGTCATCTGTTGCAGAATTTCCAGTGCAACTGTGAAACTGAAGTGGAAAGTGCGGTAACTGTGATCACCCACGGCACGTGAGCTATTTTCACAGCTGAGTGGGTCTCTGGGTAACCTTCCACACTTGAGCAATTAATTCTAGAGTTGAAGGCAACTCTACACTCAAGGATCTTCAAAAGTGAAAGAGAAATCACGACGTCACCTCGGGTTCACGACTCTGATTCATAACAGATGCGGGGACTGTAGCCCTCGTGGTCCTGTGTCAAGTCTGGAGACGTTTTGATGAATTCTGAGCAGATGGAGCATAAACACGATCCCTCACCCATGCACGTTTACTGCCTATCAAGTGATTGCACATTCCCGAAAACTGTACTGGGGCTTAGTGGGCAGACCTCCCACCCAAACACTTCATCCGCACTCTCCAGCAGTGAAAACTCTTTTTCCCTTTCTTTCTGACCACAATATCTATTACAACACCACAGAGCCAGAAACAAGAGTCACTCAATTTGAAACCCCAACCAAGAGGTCGGCAGGCTTGGCCAGTGACCTGACAAGGAGACACAATGCTTGGCCTCATCCAGTCCCGACCCTCTCTCCCACATCTCCTTCCCACCACAGGACAGCATCCCTGAGGCTAGAGGATTTTGCAGTCTTGTGAGAAGGACCCCCACATGTGACCCATGGAGCTCCACAACACCCATCCTCAACCAGCAGCATGCAGACATGTGCCATGCAAGAGTCATCACTATTAAATGGGGACTCAAGGTGTCCAAGGACCAACTTACAACTTGCTCCTGGAGCCTGGATCCATTAGTATGGCAAATCCTCCCTTGCTAATATCCTCTGCCCTATCACACACAGGCGGGCTTATCACAGGCTGTTTTTCTCATTTCTCTTCAAGAAAAAAAATTAACATGGAAGCAGATTTTTTTTTTTCTTTCCAGGGAGACAGTATTTTAATATTATCCCTGTAAGTCAAAGCAACTGGAATGATTATCTCACTTAATGATGCTGCTTGTGCTGCCTCCAAAATGGCATTCTGCTTCTAAGAGTACCTGAACAGCTATTCTTTTCTGGTTTACATATCCCCCCCTCCAGCCCCTTTCCTGGCACTTAGCATGATTCAAACTACCACCTGCCCTTTCAGCCTGGCTTTTTATTACTCTGTTACCAGGTAGAGGGAAAGTAAACCTCTCTCTGCCTGATTAAATGATTATACTAAACCTTCTATAGCCCACAGGAAATGAGCTGAGTTTGTTAAAAGGAAATCACCAATATTTGTTATCTCGGACAATCACTTTCAGGGGATTATTGACTACACCTGTTCCCTATACCACACAGCTCCAACTAAGTTACAGACAAATTTCATACCAAAAAAAAAAGTCACCCCACTTAAACCACTCCAAAGTGGTTTATAAGAAAAGGGAGGCAAACATTTGAGTGACCAACACATCATAGCTGTTTGACCCCCCCAAAAAAGTGACTTCACCATAGAAGTCTGAGGTCTAACTCGTGCTGCACGTGTGGCACCAGGTACAACTGGCTCCTGTCCTGTACATACGGCTCCAGCTTACTGTTATCATCAAAGCACTGTTTGCTCTTGCCCACAGCCACTCCCCATGTCTGGGAGCAAGGAGCAAATCATCAGCTGCTCCATAACAGATGCCCAGAGTGTCCGTGACTGGCTGTAATTTGAAGGCAATATTAAGAAGATATGGTCATTACACAAGCAAACATGGTTATTTCCACTGCAACAGGTATTTAATTTCCTGCTCATTGCTGTTCCCCAGACAGAAGGCCAGCATCAACCTGGGGAGCATCCCTGCTGGGCTGCAGGACTGGATGGTGGTGTCCCCAGAATGCGACTCTACCACAGAAAAGCACAGCCGTTTGGATGGAGTTTGGTCCCACCTGCACTCAACTACCACCAACACTTTTAGGTACCAAGTCAGGAAAACAGGGAAAGATGCTACCCATCATGGGTCCATGAGACATGAGAATAATCACAAGACTGAGCTCACCGCAGACACTTTGCTGATGACGTCCCTTGCGACTGCAAGACCCTGCGCAAAGGTGCGGGCGGCCACGAACGCTCGCGTCACTTGTAGCTTGAGCTTCCGCGGCACATCCCCGAAGGGCTTCAGCTGCTCAGTGTACTTGCTGACACACTCAAGATACTCGTCCGTGAAGTGGTACTGAGGGTTGACCAGCCGGAACATGCGCTCCAGCAAACGGGCCCAGAACTCGTTGAGCATCTCCTCCAGGTTGACATTGCCGCCTACGTAGTACCGCTTCAGCTCCACGAAGAGGTCCTTGAACAGCTCCGAGTTCTGCATGTACAAACGGCCGTACGTCCGCACAAACATGTCGTTCAGCGACTTCTCGGCATTTTCGAGAAGTTCTTTGAAGAACTCTAGAAAAGAGGAAGAGAAGATATGGTAAACACCAGCATTGGGTTGTGGGTTCACACACTTCTTCAGCCACTGCCATTGCTTAACTGGAAAATCCAGCACAATGAGATCATCACTCAAATGAAAAGGAAGGTTAAAGGACTCCCTAAAAATTTTCCAAACTATTTCTGTACCTCAAAATTTTTTATTATTCTTTATAAACCAACCCCCCCAACCTCTCTCCAGATCAGAAGACTTGTATGACTGAAATATCTTTTGATGCAAATCTGAATACCGTAACAAAAGTCAGCAAAATTAAAAAAGGGGAAAAAAAAGCCAGCTTCTTATGTTACCCTTCAGCCATCTTAAAAGAAATAATTTCAAAGCACAAGACTATCAGAATGCAAAAAAAGTTTTCTTGTTGTTAAACAGATGTTGTGCACAAATGGGTCTTTCTTTTCATTTCTTGTCAATTCATTTTCTGAAATGATCATAAACCAGACTCAAAAACAAACAAATGTTAAAACACTTCAAAAACAAACTCAAAAATCTACCTGCAGGTTCTTCCTCCAATCTTGCAAGTTTGTCAGGTCTTGGGGCAGGGTCTGTCTCTAATTACCTTAATTGGTCCTCATTGCAGATGGGGCTTCAGGTGTTTGTGGCAGTACAGAAAAAAAACCCACAATAAAGCCAGAATTTGCTTAAAATCCAAGGGCTAAATGTTTGGCACAAGAATGACAAGAGATTTTTCAGATGACAAATGACAGACAGGGGCCCTTGGGTTTCACCACTTGCTAAAAGCAAATCCCCACTTTGGTTCATCCTCTGACAGCATCACACAGCCCAGTGCCAGAGAATGGCTGCTGCCAAAGTGCCGTCACCACCTCTTGGTAGTGCCACATATACCTGTGGCACCAATGCCAATAACAAACCGACGTGACAATGTCTGGCACATCAGATGGATCTGCCAGGTCAGTTTAAAGAACATCCCATGCCAAGCCAGTGCCACCACAGCCTTGGCACATAGGTCTAAGCAAAGAATGCCCTACTGCAAAGCCTTTGTCTTGGAGATTTGGTGTAGATGAGTTATATTAAAATAAAAATAAAAAAGGGAGGGGTCCATTAAATCAACTGCATTTGCACTATTTTGGAACAAAACTAGACACTACGTGGCCTTGGGAAGGAGGTAAGGAGAGCAAGGGTAGGTGCCATGGGACAAACCCTCCCATGCCAGCAGTGCTCACGCTGGGCTGCCACCCCTTTGCACCCACCCCACAGGGGATGCTGGCACCCCGGGGCACAGGCACAGCCTCTCCACACCACACACGTCACGGGCGAGGAAGGGTATTATTTGATGCATGCCACCAGCAAACGAGGATTCTGACCTCTGCTTTTCTGTGACTCATATTCAACAAATATTTTTTAATAAAACATGCCTCTCTGGTTTTTTTTAATCCTCAAAGGAGTCATATTTAGAGCCAGAAGTTGTTAGAGGAGGTGGGGGGAAATATTTTGGCCCAGTGTGAATTTAAACCTTGTTAAAATGTATTACAAGTATGCTGAAGTTCAGATTTTCGTCTTCAAAGTGCTCCAGTACAAACAAAGCCTAACACAGAAAACATTTTCTGGAAAAACTGAAACATTCTTCGAGTTCCTGACGAACAAAGTCATGGGGCTCGGGGCCTGACATGGCTGTATATAATGCAGCCTCTTAGGAGCACAAGAGAAATGATCCAGGGAAGAAGAGATTGATTTCAAACACCCGACACGTCCTCTGTCCAATATAAGCAGGAACCTCCACTTTCGTTCCCATGACTGGCATTTCCTCTCCAGGAAGATTTTTTTCTGTTGAGTTTATACTATAGAGATTAGCTTGGTGTATATTAATTTCTAATTCACTTAATCATTTTGAAGGCTCACTTCCTTCCTTTGCTGAGACCTTTTAGTATCACCAAATAAGTTGTTTATTTAAATACTTTTGTGCCAGGCACAAGAGCTGGCAGATGCATCAGCAAACTTTTCAAGAAGAATTAGATTTTGAAATTACATTGATGGGAAATCTATTAAACACTTCCAACCACCAGTCTAAAGGAACCCAAAGCAATGTTTTAAGCCAGGAAATTTATCTCAAGTAATACATCCATATTACCATAACCAATTTATCCTCCTGCCCCAACTCATTTTATTGGTTATACTCCAAAGTGGAAGTTGAATAACTGTATCCAGGCTTTAGAGCACTTCATCTCAGCAATTTTTCATGTGGGCTAGAACCAGGTATGCTCAGTAATTATCCTGAAAAGAAAAATGCAACCTAATTAGCAGCAAATACCTGTGCACCTGCAGGCTTTCAGCCAGCAGCTTTTCCTTGCCCAAAAGGAAGGTAAATAAGGGAAATTAAAACTTCCCACTTAAACCAGACACTGCTAAAACCCCAACACAACAACATTGCTGAAGGAGGCACCACATACGCATAAAGCTGTTGTCTCTGGCTCAAGCACCATATATATTATACATGTATATGTGTGTATATACACACACATATGTATATAACGATTTATTCTAGCTGTTGACATACTACAAATCCGCACCCTCAGTTTCTGTCCCCCCTTCAAGAAACAAGCTTGGGCACAACAAAGAATATTAAACTTTTTCTTTGTGCAAACCACAGGCACAGATGTCTGCAAGAAAGCCCAAAAGTCCTTTTTATGACTTAAATGCTAATCTGACTAGTAACTCTCTACATCTAATTAGATATTAATTCTCCCCTTCACAGAAACAAGCTGATTAGCAAACACCAATGTAACCCAGCATTAACCTTGCCACTAGAAGAAGAAAAATGGCAGGTTCCTCTCTTACGTCTCGACTGTTTGCTGGGTAAAATAAATGACCACCTTTCATTTGTATTAGAAGTTGACTTGTTCTCAAACAAAGCAAACACACAAAGGCCTCAGTTGCTTATTTTACAGCACTGTAAAAGCACGTTTTACAGCTGTGTTGCAAGCAATCTATACTCATTAAATTATCACTCTGACAGGCTTCCTGTGAAAAGCTGTCAAACGCAAACATTTTTCACAGACGACAAATCATACTTTGCCGGTGCTCGCCGAGACGCTGCTATCCAGAGGGATGGCAGGCTCGCTTTTCCCTGCCAGTTATCTTGTTTAAACTCCCAGAACAAGGGCTGGCCCCTCTGTCGACAAACAGGCAAAAGGACACACATCTCACACCAGGAAGGGCTTCACAAACCAACCTGCGGGAGCAGCACATGGCTTGAAGGTCTCCAGGAGAGGATGGATCATAGACCAGGCACTGGGATAACATGGCTCTCAGCCAGCTCTGGGCCAACCAGATACAGGAGCAGGTCAATATTTTACTGTCTCAACTCACCTCAGATCTAAGTCCTGCTGATGGAAAGTTGTGTTTTGGCTCGGGGTGATGCTCAGGAGGACGAGTGCAGGGGTGAGGGTACCAGCACTCCTCTCCGCAGAGCGCAGTCGAGCTGCCCGCTGGGACTAGACCCCCAAAATGTCAAGAAATAAGTTTAAAATTTGTCTGTATTGCAAAATCCTGTGGACACCATGGACTTCGATGCTCAAAGGAAGATGACATTTCCAATGCAATTAACTTTTAGAGATAGAAAAGGCAGTAATCTGCAGTCAGGCAACCTACAGCTCTGGGCTCTGTTTATTCTTTTAACACGTTTGAATTTTGAGCAGAAGTTCAATCCCCAACACTTGGGGAAACCCTAGAGATGTCATGAAACAGTAAGAAAGACTGGATGTGACATATCTGGTAATTCTGCACTAAGAGTCCTTAAAAAAAAAAAAAAGGAAAAAAGAAAAAATGAAAAAAAAAAGGAAATCTTTGCTTTTGAACAAATCTTTCCATAAAAGAGCACAGCAGGAAAAATAACCATAGTTACTTGGCAATTTCCTTTTTTTCAGGTAATGAGATGTATTACCTGTTTGCAGCTTGAGGGCAGACCAGCCCTGCCGGTAACCCAGCACAGGAGAAGACTGCACCTCCCCAAGGTGCTTCCACGTGACATCAGTTTCCACTGCCAGAATAATTCAAAACAATCTTTCTTCCAAATTGCAGGAACAAAGGCTACTTGAAGAAACACAATCACCCCATCCTCTGCAAGGCAGAGGACAAATCCCACCTCCAGACAACACATCCACTTCCTTGAATTTTTGTGCCTAATATTTTTTTTTTAAATCTTGGATTCACAGGGCTAATCTGAAAATATCCTTTTTTAAGTAAGAAGGGATGCAGTATTTTCCTATTCCTCGTGCTAACCTTTTCAGATATATTAAGAGTGGGATTTTCATACAAGAGGTCTTTTGATGAGGAGAGCCCGCTGCTGTAGGGCACGGTCCTACCTAAATCAAAGGCAGCTCCTGGAAATTAGATGAACATATCAAAGGGGCATGTTCCCCTGCACCCACAGGCAGGTTTGGCATTTCCCTGCAAATGCTGGAGGCAAAACTGCCTGGCCTGAGCTGCCTCCTGCCACCACCAGCACTGTCTGTCCCTCAGCAGGACCCAAGCACTGGTGCCTTCTGCCCCTCCAGCCATGTCCCAGGCAGGGAGTCTCCAGGGCTGAACCCACAGCCAACCACCACAGGAGTGCAAAGTTTTGCCTTGAGTTTCCTGATCTTCAGGAATGAAGCACATTTATTTCAGAGAGCAATTTCATACAGAGGAGAATGACACTCCACAGCTCCCCACTTGCTCCTCTTCCAACAAATGCAAAGAGTCAAACCATAAGTGACCCTGAGCTCAGTACAAAAAAACCCCACATTTTATGGAGTAGAGGACACCTTAACTGCACTGCAAAAAAGGCAGAGTTTCATCCAAGAGCTCAGCAAGGCCACTGAGCCACCGTGCTCTCTACAGGTGCCCATATGTTGGCCATGGTCAGGTGTGCTGGTGTCCTTCCAAAAGGAGACCAAGGCTACCACACACCTTTCTCCTCCCACCAGACACGCTACATTTCCCATGCACCAGGTTGGCTTAGTTT